GTTAAAACCTACAGCTGTGCTGCATGACACATATCCTGCCTGGATATGTCGCCAATGACACATGGACCTTGTATTTCAGAGAGAACATGTTGTGCTTTTTCAAGTTAAACCCACAGTGGCTGAAGAAGGTGTAACATTGGAGCAACAACACACATTTCGAAGGACAGATCTGCCAAAGCTACAGCTATGAAATGTCAGCGCTCCTAAAAACCACAACAAATGTTTTCAGTATTTGACAGATGCACTTCATTCTGTATTCCTAACATTCTTACATATTTATACAACCTAGTGAGCCCTTCAAACTCTCCTGACCCCAAAAGAGACACAAGTAAATACTGCCTAAATTACAATATAATCAACTCGACCATCTGTATCGGAGCATCTTATAGGCTCTGAGATAAGAATTTGAATAATTGAAATCATGGAACAAAGAAAAATTGATGAGATCTTCCAAATGAAGGATATTCTGATATCTTTCCACTTTTCAGAAAACCTACTGTAATAATGATTACAGAAGCTATAAAGTATATTGTTAAAAATAGCCTTGCCAAACAAATGAGAAAACAGGCTCCACCCAACCTCTTATATTGAAACCATATTCTGTAGTTATAAGAAAAGGAAACTGTTAAATTAAATTGTTTGTAATAAGATCTGGGCACTAAATTAAATACAATAAACGAATTCAAACATCTGAAAAATAATGCATTCGTGTTTAATTTACTATCCTTAATCTGCTATTAGAACTTGCTGGTGCATGGGTTGTAATGCCAATTAGAATATCGGATAAATATTAAACATTTCCTCTCAAATAAACCAGAGCAAATGAGGATTGTGTACATATTGCTGAAATGCTGAGGGCAAGCAGTTATCACAGCAAAATTCAAATTTTCTTTTTCTACAGGGGGTTGAAGCTGGATTGTGTGATCAAATGTTCTAGTTAGATAAGAAAACTATTCAATCTGATGCAAAACAGTCTACAAAACATTGTATAAAGGAGTGCCTCCTGTGATTGGTTTTAAATGCACTTCCATGTCATTTCCACCACAGGGCATAAGTGGAAATAATGTGCAAGTGCTTTTAAAACCAAGATGAGGAGGCACTTCATTACCAAAAGGCTTGTGGAAATATGGGACAAGCTACCCAGCCATGGTGTAGAAGCCAATTATTTGTCTTCTTTTGAGAAGATGAGATCATTGGATCAATTAAAATAATCTGCCTATGAATTTTTAATGCTGCTAGTAAATATGACAAAGACATGAAAAGCAGAAGACTGTGAACTCTTTTCTGCACATTTTGAATATAATGCAATTCATTAGTGCATTCATTAGTGCAAAATTAATTAAGTGAATATGTTTAAGAAAATCTGAATGCTCAGACTGAAACTGAGTAAGTAAACATTTTTTTAAAAATGCAGCTATGCAGCCAAAGGTGGTCCACCAGTAGCAATTCATGCTGGTGAAAACTCATACAATGAACGTATTATAGTTTTTAATTTTTCTTTGCGTTTTTTGCTGATATTTAAACATCTTTCACCTACTAAAGCATTTATTTTGAGAATTTAAGTTTTTATTTAAACTGTTCACGAGAATGGGATATTTTCCAAAAGGAGTTAATATTTATACAAGGCTTTTCAAACAGACCTTAGCATCCATGAATTAGTATTCAAACCCATACACCCACAGTAACAAGGTAGTAACAAACACACCTTTCCAATCTTAAAGACTGTCCCTGTTCAGCAACTTTTGCAGGTAGATCACTATTGACTTCAACATAGACAAACTTAAGATTGAAAAACATGAGAGACGCACCTTAAGGTGGCCTTGAAGTATCCTGATTTTATGAGACAAACATGAATAATTTCTTCACGTTTTTTTTTAAATAAAATATCAAACATCTGATGCTTTACATCATGATATCAACACCTTCTATCAATTTTATATTCTTCCAGTTACCAGTCGCCTATTCTTCAACTCAAATTGCCGCAACAATCTTGAAAGCAGTAAAGGAAGACTGAGGAGTGTACAGTACGTGTCTCCCCACACAGCCACTGATCCAGCTGTGAGTTTTACAATGTCTTATGCTTCTTACTGACATCATCGCAACCTCACCAGAGAATGATTCAAAGGACTCAAAGGCCCAAGCTGTGCGCTGAGTGAGTTCCTCTGCTGATAGAGCCACTAGGAATCCCCAAGCATGGAATTTCCTACAGCAGGTGTTACCAGCCCTTTTCCAATTATGGCACATTTTAAATGCAATAAAGGTGTGGTGTCCATTCTATCCGATACTCATTATTTTACATTTTCTTTAAACTCAAATACTGTATGGCAAAGTCAAGCAAACTACAATGTACTTTAATAACATTAGACTCATGTGAAATGTGAAAGTTCCTTATTAGCAATTATAATTCAGCCAGTGGTTTAGTAAATATATCGCCTAAACATGTGGTTTCCAAGAGCAAAGAACAAGAATAACACAGAAAATATCTGTTATGTTAATTTTGTAATACCAAATGGTTTGGATTAAACGTTCTGCCTTTCTGCCAACCACAAATTACAAATCCCACATTTCCTGTTTTTTGGAGGGTTGATCTATAGTCTTATTCTATTTTCTGCAGGAAATCGACTGATAAGGTTTGAGTTTGAGAAAAAACTGTTAAAGTCGGCTTTAAGAACATGAATGGCTTAGACTGATGTGAAAACAAATATGGCCATTGTCTTCATAACTGAGGGTGCAATGGGGAAGCATCAGTGTGTAGGAAGTGCTTTACAAATATGTGGATAAAAATAGAGATAATGATTTTTCTGCAAGAAGCTTCAATAATGACAGTCTGAAAAAAAAACATGGGAATTAATCACGTATGAGAAAGATAGAGTATTTTGGGATTTGACCAGAAAGGAGGCAAAAATTGGAGGTGGATATTAAGAGAAGGGAGGAAAATGAATTAGTGGAAGCTCAGGCTATTAGCGACATGTGTGGGTTGCTAACAACTACACTTGAGGGATTTGTATTAGGTAGGGAAAGCTCAGATTTCCACAAAGGGGAAAGTGGAAGGAAAAATATTGATGTAAGGCATACTGTTAATAGCAAGTAAGCAGCTGAATGTAAAAATTGGGAAATGGGAAAAACGGCTTCAGAAAAAAACAAACTCCCTCAAAACAAAATGGAGAAGCACACAATTTAATTAAGGGTCTCTTGAGGAAGGGTAAGATTGAGCTTTTGAATATATTTGTAATCCAATGCAGACCTTATTCCTTATTCCTTCCTTATTAGAAAACCATATAATTAGTTCAGAGGAGTTTTTACTTTCACATATTGTTCTTTCTTCATTACATGTGAAAGCCATTCTTTTGAGGCAAAAAGAACTCCACAATGTTGTATATTTATTTACTTGCTTTGAGTTGCAGTGGACTCTTGTTAGCAACATTCCTTGCACCAGTGCTCAGCAAAATATCCTTTTGTCTAACTGTCAGCCTTTAGGGACAAGTGTTCTACTATGTTAATGTTTCAAAATATTGCCAATTGTCCATCTAGACATGAGAGTTCTCATCCTGTTAGGCTGCAAGTCTCTCAGACAACAAGTGAATTTGAGTAATAAGAGGTAAATTGCATAAGTATTTAAAAACACATGACTTGATGAAAAATAACCGGCATTGTTTTTTTCTTTATGCACAGCATGTTAAAAAAACTTGAATTAGACCTGCATTTGGCGTAGATTGATAATGCAAACAATTTTAAGGTATGCTGTAAAGAAAGCAAATTAAATCTCACTTTTCCTGTTTGAAAACTAGTGTGTATAGATTTTACACTTGTGTAGACCTAAAAAAATGCAAAATAAAGAGATGCAGAGCCTCATTAAAATCTTTTGTTTGTAGCTGGCTGTCAGGAAGCATGTTTTAAGTGCCTCTGAAATACTGTTCATTCAGAAATCTCAGCTACCCACTCATCAGCTGTATGGTAGCATAATTTATAAAAAAATGTCAACAGAACTGGCAACAGATCTTTAAAAAATAAATATGCAGCTCAATAGAAGATGCAATACCGGTACACTGAATGTTTCATTTCTAATTCTAATTCATATATTGCAAATTCTTTTCCTTGTTATGTTTTGAATACTGGACCACCTTGGTCCACATTTAATGTACACACAATCAAAATCATTTGAATCGTCTGAACATTAAAGTTCACATTTTTTCAAATAAGTGTTCTCTATAACAATTACATTACACAATTGCATAATGATAAAGTATACATATCTGAAGACAAGAAATAATTAAGAAATAATATTGATTTTTATAGAACTCACTTTATAGAATATGAAAAGAACAGGATACCATTATTATTATTATTGTTATTATACAGCTATAATCAGGTTTTCTTGTGTACTTTTAGTTAGGTTAAAATCCATGACATAATTGTAGTGCAGTATCTTTGAAGAATTGTCAAATGTGGTTATGCACATGTCAATGGAAAATTATCTACAGGACCAGTAGTAATGATGTACTGTAACACAGGTAAATTAAAGACAAAAACAGTGCATTTCACATTAAATGTTACTGGTCTTGACTGAATCAAATTAAGCAATGAGATTTGAGAATTGGTGAAGCTAAAGCAAAGATTGGTGCACTGAAAGCCTTTAATATCAAATATGACTCGAAACCTCAAACTCATAAGGTGCAAATGCATAGCGTCATTTTGGTATTAAAATGCACTTCAAAAGTAAATCAATAAAGATCTTGAAAAAATCTGGACCATCAAGCTCATAGGAGAACTTATATTAGTGCTTTGCGTATGCCATGTGTTTGGATAACAAGAGCTCCTGTGCACTACCAGTAGTCCATGCTTTCCACTCATTATTTATGCAGTGACGGGTGGCCAAACATGGTTCAGTGGACAAAGTCAATTGATGTATCTGCTTAAATAAAACTTCAGTATCATTGGTGGCTGTTCATATATACACATGATGTATGAATAAAAGAAAAGGTCATGCAAATGCCACTTACCATAATTCCAGTAAGAAGGCAAACTCCTTTTCCACAGTATGTATTTGGTACCATGTCCCCGTATCCAATAGACAGAAATGTTATTGAAATCAGCCACATTGCTCCAAGAAAGTTGCTAGTGACATCTTGGTTGTCATGGTATCTGGAACCCAGAACACAGTTACTACATCAGAACTCTTATACACATTGCAAATGAACTACAATCTACTCATTGTCACAAACTGTGGCTAAAAATAAGGTGCTTAAAAAAGAAACAAGCTCGCTGAAAGATAACCTTCCTGTTGCAGGGATATTAACATCTGGATTGTCAGATGAAGATGACAAGAAATAATTAGTTTAAAATCCTACAGTATATGTGAAATTCCATATTTATGTATACCTTTTCAGTCATTTTCCTCGCTAAATGTTTGAAATGCCTAAATCAATGTCCACGTATTCATATAGCATTAAGAAGGCTTTGAACTAAAGAAGTTGAAAAATCTAAATTTTTGTGCTACTCTATAAGCTTTTAAAAATGTGAAATCAATGCTATGGGTTTGAAATGTTCAAAACAGTTACCTTTAAATTATGTGACAGAAGTGGAATATTAAAGAACAGTAGCTTACAGGATTATCCAGGCAATTACAAAATGCACTGTCTCTTTTTACTGCACAGTCAATAAAAACCAGGTGTCAAGCATTTGATAGTTCAACAGCTCAGAACAATGGTACAACCTCTTATTCTGATTAAAAAATATAAATTCATTATTAATTAATTAAAATGAAAATTTGAGGAAGTTAAAATGAAAAGGTTTGGTAATTTACTAATTGGGGAAACAAGACAATAAACCTAAAACTGACAATTTTCTAGATATGTGAAAGCGGGCTTCATTAATGTCCCTTAATCTAACATATTACTTTAATATTCAATCATAAGCCACTAAAACTTTAGCTTCAGTTAGGCATCAAACAAATCCAATACATCCAGAGATATGTCTTACAGATGTATCATATTTAATTAGCTGCACATTAATTTCACTTGGTGAGCAATGACAGCACGTCTCTTCATTCAAAAGCACTGAACCACATAAATGTTTAAGATTCTGTAAGTAGAATGGTATAGCCATTCCTATAAATGAAAAATGGCATTGATAGAATTCATTATATTATTACACATTCAAATTTAATTTTCTCAAAAATTCGCTCATAGATTAATAACTGTCTAAACATAAAGTTCCAAAGCTGTTAAATGTATAAGAGCAAATGTTAAGAAGACTATGCATCTTTTGTGGACATAAGGTCACAGTTTCACAGGAAAGAACTGTGGCCAATGACAAAAAGAATAAATCCATAATGGAGGTCTGGGGTCTTGATCAGAAAGGGTATTTAACTGAATACGTGCTGAAGGGTTAACGATCAACAGCAAGAAAATAAATATTTGATTTCTAGATTATAAACATTTTATGGAGTTAAGGAGAATTTCTGTCTTACAGCTATCTCTGAAGAATATATGGAATGACATTTGTAATTTACTATTTGTCTCCTTAGAAACAATATTGCAAACCTGAATAATAAAACTTTTGAGTTATACCTTCCCATGCAAGACAGAATGGATTAATTTGATTTGTATGGATGCACCTCTAGTTGTGGGAATAGAATACAAAACTGTTTTCCAGTACCATGAAATCAGGCTATAGTACTTAACAGTACTATACAAATTGTATTTTAAACTCCTTATGTAATCAAATCATGGATTTGTACTGCCAGCAGTGCAAAGTATGTGGAGAGACATTAGCTCAAGGTGAAAGCCAAGTTCTGCTCAGTGTGATATTACACAGACTTTCTCTCTCAGCTGGGGTTGAAGCCGCTCACACGGGTCTAAGACTGTTTGCTTATCAAGCCTTATCCTCTGCTCTGCTGTCATGTTCAGGAAATTAATTCTGACTCTGAGGGTGTTCTCCAATTCCTCCTCTTCTTTATCAAATCCCTCTTGGTCCAGGCTGATGGGTACAGCACATGTTGAAAAAAAAATGCATGAAGCACTTTTGTCTAGTTCTTGTCTCCAGCTATAAGAAGGACAGAATAAATTGTGTGCTTTCAGGTAGCTTCAGTACAAGCTGCAGGATGTAGTGTGCTGCCTTCTTTTTTCCCATTAAGATTTTTAGCGGAACGGAAAATACTGAAATTATATTTATATGGCACATCAGTAAAAGCTGTAAAAGCTATGATCAAAAGAGCATCTAAACTTTAAGACTAGAAAGTATCAATCTTCAAGCACCTTCCCTCACAAGTACAATTACTACCATTTATTGCCAACACATAAAAGCACGGACTAATGTCATTTACAACCAGGAAGAGTGAAAAAGGTACTAATGAAAAAAGGAAGAGAGCATTAATTGAACAGTGACCTTCAAGTATGAGGGAAACCAAAAAATAAGGGTTCTGTGTAATAGTCCTCCAAATACAGCAACTGTCCCTGATGATAGGGAAGAACCTTAAAATTAATACAATAAACTGCATTCACGTTCTGTACTCCAAAACTTAAATTCCAGCATTAAGTATTCACAAGCCTTCATCAGGACATACTCGTGTGATACAGGAAAGATCATTAAACATGAGCTAAGAGATTCCTTTTAAAACAAAAGAAAGCTTAGCAGTCAGTACTGTACCAACTATTGGTGGACTCAACCTTTGGAAAAAGAGGTTACACCTATTTGGTGCAGTATTTTCAAATCAGATAAGGTCTCATTATAACTATGTTATAGAATGTCAGAAGACAAATAAAAGAGAGAAAATTAACAGTGGCAGGTTCACTATCTGGTAAAAATGGAAATGTCATAAAATAGCTCCAGTTACTTACCAGGTCATAATACAAGGCATTGTCGTATTTTAAATGTCATTTAAAAGGATTTTATGTTTTTGGTAACCTAGTCTTTCAAGACATAACATTAAAAAAAACACTCCGTACAGACACTAAATTCTATAGTTCTTTTGCATACTGCAACAGATCATCAGGAAGATAAGTCTGATTTCATTTATTATTCAGTCAGCAGACTTCTAAGTTGTCTGCCATCTTCACTAACTCTCTGTGTACACTGCCAACACCTACTCATCAGTCTGTACTTCCAAAGCTTGGTAAATATCTACCAACAGTGCTTTATTACATTATGTGGTATATCAACAATATCTTTAGAAATCTCTGCAGTATTTTAATAGTACTATATTCCTAGACAACCTAATTGATAGTTTTATATTCTGATTTGTTTACTGTCACCATAACACCAAGCCCAAGTCCTAGATTGCAAAGAAGAAATACTCTATACTAAGAAATAACACTCTTCATTTGATTTAACTTTGATTTCAGAAACAGTATGTCTTTCTTAACTAACTTAGCAGACTAATTTCAGAGTGTTACTTTCTAGTTTGACATAGTATGTCAAAATCTTTGACAAAGCTTCTCATAAATAATTGAACCCTACAAAATCAAACCATAGATAGTGGGTGTCAATCTAACTAGGGAATTCAGGGATAATGGTGGGTATTGAGAACAAGTTACCAATATATTTGCAAATGGTATATTTTGTTGGCACATGTCCTGCCACAAAGAGCAACAAGTGTAAAATTCTCATCAAATATACTCAGTGACTTGCTAGAGATGGACACTGAAAGTGGGACTATGTCCCACAAAAGCTACATTTAATATTACCCAACACAGGATATTTTTAAACTTATTTATGCTTTGTTAGTAATACAAATGTATTGTATTACATTAATTGCTCATCTGTATTTATAAGTGTAGTGTAAAAACCTAATTATAAACACTAAATTATTAAACTAAAATAATCAATATTCATAATAATTATGTGCATTTGTATTATGTTTTTCACACCATAAGATCCAAAAGTACTTCATCTACAGCAGGAAACACATTTCATCCACACCTACTTGGGTGTAGAGCAGCAATGTACACTTGGGTGTATAATCAATTGAATTAAGGGCAAATGTACGGAGCACAGGACATCTAAAATAGAACAGACCAGTAGTCCTGAACCCATCCACACCAGTAGATGTTCAGCACAGTAGTCCTGAACCCATGACAGCACCACATTCTGCACAGTATTCCCAGTAACATGTTGGAGCATTCTTTTGGCAGTGCTGTTTCAGAGGAAAAAGCGCTACTTATTGTACTTCTCCCCCACTTCTTACAGGCATTTTGTTTTCCTTAGAGGTCTCCCGAGACTTGCCCACTGACCAGACCCAGTCTTGTTTAGCTTTTTTCTTTATCTATTATTGTTGGGTAGCATATTGGTTCAAACAATTACAAAGTACAACTCTTAGGTTTTATGACAAAAAAACAGACAGGAAGTCGGGGAAACTTCCAGTCATGCCCAGGAGCTGAGCTTGTGAGCTTCACACAGCTTGTGAGAAGGATGGTCTGCCTTTCCTATCTAGATATTGGTAGAAACATTACCTCAATGGTCACAGGTTTTACATGAGGCAAATGTATTTGTATTTATTTTTATACATGACAGGAGTCAGTATGCATTCTTTTCTTTCCCATGTATTTCTTTGTGGATAACTCATCTTCGGATGACACACTAATCAGATTGTGACAGCACAAATTCAAGTATGAATAAGTCAGAACTTAGCAGTTCCTGCTCTTTCGATGAATAATTTTACTGGAGTATGAAATGAATTTTCATTTAAATGGAATTAAAATATTAATATCTGTCTCTCAATCTTCAAGAACCCAGGTCCTTCAGTTTGGCTGACAGTCTACCTCCCTTGGAATTAAGATATGCAGACTGCCAATAAGTAGGGAAACAAATTATTCCTTCAATAGCTTAAAATCAAAGATTTGAGCTCTAAAAATGTGAACTATGAATTTAATAGAAATTCTAAAAAGACAAAAATTGAGATGTACCAGGCAAAAAAAATCTCATTATAGTGTATATTTCATTTCTTAATAGCTAAAACTAAACTTTTCTTTTCACATCCTTGTACTTGAAAATCCTCAAGACTAAAAACAAGCAGGATAAATAAATAAAACCTCACTTTAGAATCTGAATACAGGTGATCCCCATGATACTGAGTTTTTTCACCATTTGACATTGGAGTGAAAATGTCTGGGAAAGTTGGGGGAGCGGATTTTAAATAAGCACCA